AGGTCGTCGGAAAAGGCGGGTGCGGTGCGGGTGGCCTTTGCTCCGGAGGGATGATGTCAAGCGTGTCGGAGGCGCTTGGTGGCGAAGAAAGGAGGTGTCGGGGCCTGATCCGTTGTGTGAAGGTTGCTGGGCCTAGGTCGCATTCCGGGGGTGGGGAGGGAAAGCGTAGGTCGAAAGGCAAGCAGCTGTCTGCCGCTTCTCTTGCCCTGATCGTCAAACCAGGGGGAAGCACCCTGGCCAAAGAGCTGGGCCTGGTGGAATATAAAGGCTATTTATTGCCACATTGTGGTTTGCTAGCCAGACCTCTTTAAATGCCCCATCAGAAACGCCTGGTTTGGTTTATTCATTTGCATTGGCAGCTCCATGTTACTTCTGTGCAAACTGGATGCCGGCTTGTGTGTATAGAGCCCGACTCTGCATTTACATAGAGGCCTGTCTTCTCCTTATGCTGACTTGTTTTTCAGGGTCAAGGATGCGCAGGGGAACACTGGCCATCCATTGCCTTCCTATTAGTAGCCTGTGTGTCCTTGACTGCTGGCTTTAAATGCTGCTGCTGGCTGAATTCTGCCCCACAAGGCAAGGGTTCTGTCATATGTACAGAACAAATGCCTTACAAAAATTTGTCTGGAAGCAAATGAGGGCAAGGCACAAACTTGGTGATGTATGGTTGGCCAAGGAGGATACTTCCAGGTGTTGGTATTTATTGAAAGCCGTGGAAGCATGCTTCTAGCAATAGGATTACCCTGGGTTTTAAGTGTCCTTGCTTTTAAAAAAATCATTTCTCTTTCCCCTCACCAACTCCCCAAAATCTGCAAAAAGTGGGATATGTGCTTTTGGAAATGTGGAGTCTCTGAGGGCTGTGTTGTATGCGTGATGCTGATGGTTTAGTTACTGCTGAAAAAATACGTCACTATCCCCCATTTTCCCTATGCAGCATTACAAATATTTTTCAGTGGCAGTCTCTGTTACACCCACCCGCACATCTCTTAGGTAGCTAGACCCTAGGTCTAGCAGAGTAAGTGTGGCCTTCTTCATGAAAGGCTGCTTTATGTATTTTATGATATTCATTTGAAGAGTGTTCTGACATCTAGGGGTGATGCGAACCTTTTTCTTTTTCTAAGAACCAGGTATGAGCTTATCTGTTTATGAGGCCTCTTGTACTTAACAAGGTGGTCCTTGTATTAAATGTGGCAACTGTGTTTTGCGTCCCTCTGAATAACAGGCCTATTGGGTTTCTCCACTGGGTAACAAAAAAATGAAAATGCTCTGTGGTCCTTGTGCACAATCCGAAATTAAGGGTGGGTAATATCTTTATTGGACCCTTGAAAATCACAAAGGTAAGATAGCTTTTGACTCTCCATAAGCAATTGTTAGGCTGAGTACCCCCCAGTTGATGGGGGTGCTCAGCTTGACAGTGGTGGTACAGAAGAAACATAAAAGTTCCTAAAATCATAGCCAGGCTCCTTTGCTAAAATTAAGTTTCAAAATAGGAACTGTAGTGCAGATCAGAGGTGTGGGCTTCAGTCTTCACTTTTGGTGGTGTGGATTTGAATGGCTCTCATAACCTTATTGGACAAAGGGTTTCCAGTCATTCAGCATCCTGCACCTCCCATCACCCTGAATCAAAACGCGGTTTCTTTCTGTCCGGGAACAGAGGCACACAGAAACATGGCAAACCCCATATCAGAGACATTGGGATAAACTTTAGTCTGTACACCTGGAGACTCTATAAAGGTCTTCTCTATTGACCAATATGCACTTTCTGTTGCTAGGGGCTGTCCTCAGGTGTCATAGTAAGCTTTTTTTCCTTAGAAATTGATGCTTCCTGAGGATGTGGCAACTCCCAGGTCTTGAATTCAAAGACCATTATGTGAATTGCTTATTACCAAGTGTGGCTTAAAAATTATTTTTTAAATTTCATACATTCATATACCACTGACTTAGTGCAAAAACACTACTCTAAATGACTCACAGCATCACACTAGAACAGTGACACAAACACCCAACCTTAAATGCCTCAGATGAAATAAACAATATATACAGATACTTCAGAATGCAAAGGGAAATAGAAATATGTATTTATTCTTCAGTCAGCTGGTTAACTGTAGGACATCTCGACAGCCTATTTGTTTATTTTATTTATTTATTTATTGCATTTATATGCCGCCCATCTAGACATAGTCTACTTTGTTAAAGATCTCCATGTGAAAACTCTTTATGGAGTCAGGCATGTGGCTTTGTGTGTGTGTGTGTGTGTGCATATGTGGGTGTGCGTGCGCGCACACATTGTTCAGGATTAGAAAATTCTGGATTCAGGAGGTCAGAAGATGCTAGCAGGTATATTAAGATTCATAGTGATGTACTTTGGTGTGATTAAATCACAAACATGTTTTCTAGGCTAGAATTTTGGAATACATTTACTTTGCAATGTTTATCTTATCTGTTGACAGATTCTGGCTTTCAAAGGATTGAGTTTTTAAGCTTTGCAGTGAGAAAAAGATGAAGTACTGTTACCATAAAAATAGTAGGGTCCCCTGGTTTTTCCTCTCTACTGAGAGAAAGGATGTGTAAATTGCTCCCTTGAATTTTATCTAGAAATTCTACAGTGGAGAAAACAGAACACATGGATATTTTTCCAGCATTCCAAACACATAATGTGGAAATTGGAATGCTGTTACAAGAATTCTGGGGTTAGATACCCCGTAAACGGTGTTGTTGAAAAAATGTGTGATATTGGTTGCATTTCCTGTAAGACTTTTTGTATTAAGTTTTTTTAAAAGTGAAATTAATTTATTGATAGTTTCAGTGGCTTATTTAACACCATCATTGTGCCTAGCATCTCTCACAGAAAAAGAGGTCAGGCCCCTGCCCCAGAGGTTCACTGCCAGAAAGGGGCAGGGAGTAAGCAAAGAAAGTGTTAGATCATAGCTAGCCTGTGTACCTAGGCTTGTTTGTAGTAGGCATGGAGACAAGAGGTTATGTCCGAAACACTGAATAGATTCTTCATTCTGAAGTCAGATCATTTTTCTTGCAGCTTTATCCTGCAGAGGAAAGTTTATTTGCTAACAGGGCAGCCTTTGCCGCCACAGAGTGATGCGCCATGCCTATAGTGGACAAGCTGAAAGAAGCCCTGAAGCCTGGGCGGAAAGACTCTACTGATGATGCTGACTTGAGCAAACTGTTGGCAGCTTCTGCAAAGAAGGTTTTGTTGCAAAAGATTGAGTTTGAACCTGCCTCCAAGAATTTCTCCTACCAGCTGGAGAGTCTTAAGAGTAAATATGTTCTGCTGAACCCAAAGACGGAAAACCCCAGTAGGCACAAGGGCTCCGAAGAAGCATCTGTCCGGAAACAAGGTGCCTCGGGGACTCTAGCTGTGTGGTGGGGAATTGGTTGCTCTTATTATGATTGAGACAGCTGACTCCTCCTCCTCTTCTTTCCTTTCTTTCTGACAGGCAGTGAGCATGCCCTGGGAGGAGATGGAGTGCCAGCCCCACAGAAGGTCCTTTTCCCTGTGGAGCGTCTGTCCCTGAAATGGGAGCGGGTGTACCGTGTCGGAGCAGGACTCCACAACCTGGGCAACACTTGCTTCCTCAACTCCACTTTGCAGTGTCTGACCTACACCCCGCCTCTGGCCAATTACCTGCTTTCGAAGGAGCACAGCCGCACTTGTGAGTGCAGTGTCAGGACTTTGGGGTCTGCTGCCTGCTTGAGGAGTGGCCAGCACTCCACGCAGGGCTCTGAGGCACAAAGGATGTGCTTTCTCACTTAAAAGTTGTACAGAGTAAAGTTGGCAGCCGCAGAGGCTTTTACATTGCAGTCCCAAGAGCTCTACAGGGGTGGGTCACAAATCTCTAAGCCAAAGGAGGATGTCTGTAGTCCTCCAGATGATGGACTGCAGGTCCCTTTCTGTAGTTTTGCTGGGGCTTGCCATCTGAGCAGCCCTTAAACAGCCATACACGCGCACACAGAGAGAGGGAGGGAGAGAGAGGGAGATCATAACAGGTAGCAAGGGAGAGGGCAGATGAGCCCATAGTGGAAGAACTCCCAGATGCAAGGTTTGGTGGGGCTCGCACCCTGAAGGTGGAACTCAGAGCAGCGCATGCCTGGGCGACAAGTGCAAGAGTTCTGCAACGTCCTCTCCTCCTACAGGGAAAGCAGGAGATTCCTGGGTATGCCTGAGAATGCTTCCTTTTTACAATTACCACTTCTGAATTACTAACAGGAGGGCAGCCAGGGCTCCAGAGATTTCTGTACTTGCCCCTAGGAAGCTCGCAGGAACAGTTCCCCCCCTTTCTGCCTGTGGATCTGTTCTACCCTGCTGACTAAGAGAAGCCTTTCCAGGGATTTTAGGATTGCTCTCTAAGAAATGGAACAATTTGTCTCAGCATTCTTAGTTGACATCTAGCTCGTGCCATAGACAAATTGTGCCTTCTTAGCCTTCTAGTCTGAATTATGGGTGATAATAATTCCCTTCTTATCATAAAAAAGGCATTATAAGGAGTAGTACAAAAATAGCATGCTCTGTTGGAAGAGGTATACCAATGTGAAGTAGTAATTTAACCTTTCAGTGAAGTCAATCCAAACTCTTAATGCAAGAGAGTCTTTAAATTGTAACAGTTTCTCACTGTTTGGTAGAGATTTTTGAGTATTTACAAAATTAATTTCTAAGCCTCAGCAGTGATGCTTTTACCCCCACTCAAGCAATACCTAAAAATCATCACTGAGTGATCCTTGCAATTCTGATAGTAGCCTTTGGACTAGAAAATTTTCTGCAAGTCAGACTACTTTAGGAACTTGTTTAACAGAATATTGCTTTTAAGAATCCAAATAGATTGCAACTTAAATAAATTTCTCTTACAAGAAGTTTTTATAGTGGCTATCAGGTATGGTGCTAAAGATATTGTGTTTCACAGCTTTTTGAATAGGGTTTGAAGAATGCAGGATGCTTTAGCACTTATTTTCCTGTGTTTGAAGCATGGGAGATGTGATTCTCAAACTTGGGGCTGCGGACGTTCCTAGATGATAACTCCTAAAAGCCCTGCCCATTGGCTGTTCTGGCTAGGATTTCTAAGAGTTGTAGTCTAGGAACATGTGAAGCCAAAGTTTGGGGAACCACTGCCTTGTGTCTGTAGACATTCTGCTGAATCCGGTTGCATTAATCCGGTTGCAGGCTATGCAGGGTTGAGGGTTGGGTTTTGTTTGCATTGTAGAGCCGCGAGAAGGTGAGCAGGGCTTGGCTATCTAAGGACAAACTAGCACGCAATGCATCTTGCCTTTCTACAGTGTACTGCAGCAGGCAGCTGCTGTACAGGGATGTTCATTCACCCTGGCAGGGAGGGGTCTGGCAGGTACTGTTAGCAGCTGCAAAGAATCAGAACCAGCGTTTGGTTGCATGATTGCTGTTCTAAGCATTAGTCATGGAAAATATACATGCATGGCGAAAACTGGATTGGAATTACTTGGAAAACATCAAATATCAATTCACATTTGGAAAGGCAGACTTCAGTTATCAAAATTTAACTCATTCCTTTGCTAGTGTTTGGCCATCACTTGGAGCTGCTCAGCAGAAAGTGTTGCGTTTTGAGGGACTTTAGACATGTGGGAAAAGAAGCTGTCTGTCATAGAGTGGGAAGCTATTTAGTCACATATGCATATGTAACATGGTCATAATGTAAACTGTCCTGGAGAGTTCAAAGTTTCCTGATGTAAGTAATGGGAAAATGCAAGAGTATAGCACAGATTCTGCTCCTGGTAGTACACTACCTCTAGCAGAGAGAAATAGCAACATTTTTGTTGATGTACATGCAGCTTTTTGTTTCCTTCTGTTATTGTATGTGTGAATCTTATGCAGTATTAGCTGAGCAGATAGTTTTCTTGGGCCAAGCAGAGCTGTTTTAAACTCCCATTCTGAGGTTCAAGCCAAATCAGCATCTGCTACTATCCTTGAAAACAAAGTGTCTTTCTGAAGTGGGTGCGAATTCATCCTGATAATTATTTTTCTCTTTCTCTCTTCTAGGCCATCAAGGAGGCTTCTGCATGATGTGCATTATGCAGAATCACATGATTCAGGCTTTTGCCAACAGCGGCAATGCCATCAAGCCAGTGTCCTTCATCAGAGATCTTAAAAGTAAGCAGTAGAGGAAGCTTTGTTTGCTGCTACGTAGTGGCATACAAATACACTGCATCACCTCAGGATGGTGGGTGGTGGAGACATTCTTTGTGTTTGTGTATGTATTGTACTGTGTATAACCTTGAAATTTTGAGAAGACTGTTTTTCGAAAGTAAAGTGAATCTCCTGATTGCAGAGGGAAGTTTGAAAACATGGTAACCATAAGAGTAAAAATGGTTAGAGGTATTTCAGGTAGCTTAGAACTGTTTGGGTGTTCTTGGTGTTCTTCCTTTCCTAAACGTTCAACTTGTAACCAAGATCATTCCGAAAATTGCAAACAGACTAGAATACTCTGTTCACTTCCAGTCATTAGTGTTTTGCTTAGTTACATTATGTCCAGAACTGAGATTTTCTTGCTGCAGAATCTGGGTTTTTGGTGGTGGTCATATTGGGCCTTATTGATGACATCTGTTCCCAGCAGTGTGGTTCTTGTGTTGTGGAGTATGGGGGACAAACCTCAGGCTCTCTTTCTCTTTTCTCTGGCAGAGATTGCCCGGCATTTCCGTTTTGGCAGTCAGGAAGATGCTCATGAGTTTTTGCGGTACACAATTGATGCCATGCAGAAGGCCTGTCTCAACGGTTATACCAAGTACGGTCAATTCCCTGTTTCTGTGATGGAGGTGGTGATGACAACATTGTGTACACTGAGTTGAGGAACAGATTATATTGAGACCTGACAATCTTAAATCGTATGCAGGGAACTTAGTGGAAGCATGAGTCAGTTACATTGACCCTGAGCAGGGGAAATGTTGCATGCTAGCCAAGCAGCTTTGTAGCTAGTGCTGTCAACTTGCCCTTTCCCAGGGAAGCATAAGTGCCTCTGCATAGCTAGAAGTCTTGTCCTAAGGGGGAGACCCTTCTCTAAGCTCTCTGGTTGCCCCTATGCTTGGAGCAGCCAAAGGCTGTTATGTTAATCACAGACAAGCTGTCGTGTTGAATGGAAAGCATGTCATCACTTCAGAAATGTGTTCTAATTGCTCATAACATTCTGGTGCTTGCCTTTCCAGGCTGGATCGTCAAACTCAGGCTACTACGCTGGTGCATCAGATCTTCGGCGGCTATCTCCGCTCTCGAGGTGAGTGCAGCTTAGCAGGTGCCACTGAGACTAATATACCAAGAGTTGATTTCTTGATACGGCTCTGCATGGAGGTCCCAGTACCACCCTACAGATGTTTCATGCTTTGACCAAATCTGCTGGTAACACCAGAATGTTCTTGGTCCAGCTGTACTTAGGTCATGCCAGCTGACCTGTGGGCATGGAGCTGCCCATGATCTGCTGTCAGATTTCCTACTGGCTTCCTTTGGCCTTTGTCAAGGCAGCAAAGGGGATATTAGGTAGTCTTGAATTTAGTTGCTTCCAATATTTATTTATTTTGTTTGGATGTAGACGCAAGAGGGTATCCAATATAGTGTGTTGGATAGAGCAACAGACTAGGACTTGAGAGATCTGGGTTTAGATCCCCACTTAACCACGTAAACTCACTTGGGAGGAGGTAGCAGTGGTAAAACCATTCCTTAAATATCTCGCTTACCTTGAAAACCCTATTAGAGTTGCTATAAGTCGGATGTGACTGGATGACATAACACAGAGAGACCCCATTGTGACAGTGGCAGGCAGCTGTGGTCATGAAGACAAGACAAACAACTCTCCTACTTTCTTTGCAGTAAAGTGCTCCGTTTGCAAGAGTGTCTCGGACACTTACGACCCCTACCTGGATGTGGCTTTGGAGATCAGGGTATGCCACGGTTGTTCAACTTCTTGTAAATTCCAGGGCATGGATATGAATGTTAATAGAAGTATTTGTTTTGTCTGTTAACATGTAAACATAAATGATATTATTGTAGCCTCCGGCTCTTGCAAGGTTGCTACATGCTGGGTGATGTTTTATATGCAGTAACATGTAATAAGTATGTGCCATATAACTGATTAGTTGCCAGTATATCACTGATGTATAGAAGATGAAAAAGAAGTTGGGGTGGAGAATGGCTTTTGGGATGGATTGTCAGTACTGGAAGAGATGGGCTACAAAAGAGTGAACACAGATGATCAGATTACTTATAAATTTATTGAGTCAGATAGTGTGGGTTTGAAGAGAGACACTCTTGCAGCTTTTCCTTCATGTTGCTGCTGTGGCTCTCCAGTAAACAATTTGTGTGCTCAATCCTATCTGAGAAGCGTCTGTGATCTGGCCAGGGGACAATAACTTTCATGCCATGCACAATTCATGATTTATATTGTCTGGCATGTGGTTTCTTCCTAGAATCCCTAGAATCCTCTTTTCATGTAGTCGTGGTCTAGTACATTTGGAGAATACTGGGTGTAGGAAGATTGGGCTACTCGTCATCTGAGTGGGGTCAGCCTGGGCTTGAGTATGGCCCTGTTCTTCACCTGGTTTGCATCTTTGTGTAGGGTGCTCTTCTGAATTTCACTCTTTTGCCTCAACAGCAGGCTGCCAACATAGTTCGGGCGTTAGAGTTATTTGTGAAGGCTGATGTGCTGAGCGGTGAGAATGCCTACATGTGTGCAAAGTAAGTTGCCCTTTAACTTGGCATTCGTCTTCATCTACCTGTTCTTCTCATTTATCCTCTTTTGGTCATTCTGTTATATTAAAAAAGAAAACAGAACAAACAAAAGAACAGGGCTCCACTTCCTAGAATGGAAGGGTTAACTTATTTATTTATGGGGTTGGGCAGGTTTGTTCTAAGCTGTAGCTTCAGCAATTGCTGACTCATTCAGATGAAAAACGTTGAGATGGTAGAAGAAGTAAAAGAAAGTGGTTCCGTTTTTGATGGGAGGAGTAGCTGAATGGAAAACACTTGCACCCAAAATTTGGCTTGTATCCATACAGTACATGATGCATTTAGAACAGCTGTCTTCTGTTTGAAACCAAAAATACCGGTGCATGCAATACAGATGGAGGTAGCTTGAAATTATAAAAAGCAGCTGTTCTCCAAGGTCTTTCAAGGTTGCCCATATAAAGTGCAACGGAGCTGCTGCGTAGTTGTGAGGGGATATTCAGGAGATCTCTTGTTCGCTCTCAGAGTTCTACAGCAAAGATCCTGTGTTGTGTACAAATGTATATACAGAGTTGACCTTGTTTCTCCTCCATGCAGGTGCAAGAAAAAAGTGCCAGCCAGCAAGCGCTTCACCATTCACCGGGCATCCAATGTACTCACAATCTCGCTCAAGCGCTTTGCCAACTTCAGTGGAGGCAAGATCACCAAGGTGTGGAGGCATGGAAAGTGGGAGGCTGCATGCTATCTCCTCAATAAAAATCCTTGGAACAGTTCAGCTGAACTATTTTTTCTCCCTTTATCCAAAACACCCTAAAAGCGGATATCACTGTCCCCATATGACCTTTTTGGGTGGGTGGAAGGAGTGCAGTCCTGGATGGTAGTCTATATACCCCTTGGCCTCAGCCCAATTGCTGTTGCCATCTAGAGTTGACCCATTGTATTATGGTGAGTCAGCATGTATGCAAATTCCATTCAGTGGGTCTGTCCTCGTTGGGACTCCTTTTTGGATTCAGCATGCCTCTGTTCATCCCAGTTATGAGGCTGTACGTGCACCTAAGAAACAGGATCTTAGCAGGTAGGACAAATTCCTACAGACTATGTTCCTTTCCTTTGCAGGATGTAGGCTATCCTGAATTCCTGAATATCCGTCCTTACATGTCGCAGAGCAGTGGTGACCCTGTCATGTATGGCCTGTATGCTGTGCTTGTACATTCAGGATATAGCTGTCATGCAGGGCATTACTATTGTTATGTCAAGGTGAGTTTTTATCTTCTGGCACTAGCAAGTGCTAATTATTCCAGTAAGGCAGTTTGTAGGGTACTATGGGAGATGCTATCCTTAGAGGCTGGGTGGTGATGGTGGTGACACTGAGCTGTCAAAGGTCTGTTTTGATTTCTGGTCCATTGTGCAACATTCTAGCAGGCTTATGTGGCTGAGTGCCTCTTTTGACACAATGGTTAAACTGCTGTACTGCAGCCAAAACTGTGCTCACAACCTGGGATTCGATCCCAGGTAGCTGGCTCAAGGTTGACTCAGCTTTCCATCCTTCTGAGGTTGGTAAATGAGTACCCAGCTTGCTAGGAGAGCAGTGTGTAGCCTGCATAATTAACTTGTAAACCACCCAGAGAGTGCTTGAAGCGCTATGGGGCAGTATATAAGCAGCATGCTTTGCTTGCTTTTGCTTTTGGACTCCCTGCCAATGTTCTTAGTTCTTGAGGTTCAGCTGCAGTCATTGTCGGAAGTGGAGATCTGGGAATCTGTTGCTACATCCCTAGCTAACATCTGACAGAGATAGGTGGCTGTCAGGACAATTGTTGTGCAGTTATGGTTGGAAATGCAAAGGTCTCCGGAAGAAGCAAAGAATGAGATGAAATGGGAGAAATGGGTAACCTCCCCCAGTCCCCCATCCTTCTTATCTTTAATTGTGCCATATTGAACAAGCAACTATGTCCTAATTACTATTTTGTTAAAAAATAGTAGGCTGCTGGGTGCCACAAGGGAGGCTCACAAACAATAGCGAGATGGCACTATCACTACCTTTGAGTTAGTAGTCAGCAACAGGCTGTCCCAACCTCAGTACATTGTAAACATACTATCATATCTTGCACACATTGATGAAGCTCATTTTTAATGCAATCCAGAGTGGGAAACCTGTGCCACTCCATGAGAATACAGTCTAAAGGGCTCATCCCTTTCAGCCGGCCAGAGGTTATGGGATGAGACTAATCACCATCAGAGGGACCATAGTGGTTTTCCTCGCCCTTGGCTTTTCCCCAGGCCAAACATGACACATCTGTGCTTGAGGCAATTACACGTCCTTTCCTTCTCTTTAGGCTAGCAATGGGCAGTGGTACCAGATGAATGACTCTCTTGTACATTCAAGCAACATCAAAGTTGTTCTCAACCAACAGGCCTATGTGCTCTTCTATCTTAGGTAAGTGTGGTGCCTGGTAGCACGTCTCTTCCTGGCTAACCTATCTATTCTCTGGCATACCATGCTGTTAGCCCCTGGTCTTTTTGGTGATGATGAGGCAGATCCCTTATCAATATGGGCAGTACACCTGGCTGAATGATACATGGATGGCAGTAATATGGTGGCTGCCAGTGTGTGCCTATCCAAGAAGAGTTCATGACAAGCCTCTTTGCAACTCTTGTGTGTCATGAGTAACAAGGGTCCCAGGTAGTAGTTTCATGTAGGTGAATTAGGTGCATGTTGCAGTAATGCCATCAGTGACATAGAGGAAGGGCAGGAGCTTAGTAGTAATGCATGTGCTCAACATGCATACAGACCCAGGCTCTGAATTGCTGATGTTTCTGGGCAGGGCTACCAAAAACAAACAAAAAAAAAAACAACAACTTTGAAATCCTGGAATGGCAATAGCTGTCAGTAAAGTCAGCAGCAAGCAAGATAGGATTAGGGATCTTGATGTAAAGGAATTTGCTGTTCTGTTTCATACTCTTCAGGCCTCTAGTATAAGAGATCATCTTTAAAAAGAGCTGCTAGATTGCTATCAGGACAAGGGGGCTGGACGGTTTTGTCCAATCATGAAAGAGCTCCACTGATCCTTAATCCATTTCTGGGCTCATTTTAATGTGTCTCTGTTACTCTAACCCTAACCCTAAATGGCATGAAACAAGATACCGTAAGAGCTGTTTTGTTCCACATGTACCTATGCAGTTATTAAAATGTTCCTCTGAGGCTCCATTTTGGGTTCCCCTGTCTTGAGGAGTTAGCCCAGACAGGATACAGCCTTTGCAGTTTGGGCCCCCCAACCGTACATCCCCGTCTCCAAGGAGGTCACCTGATTCTGACACCTTTTTAGTGCCAGTTCTGTTTACATGCATGGGACCTTCAGGTGCTTTCTAAAATCTGGCTCTTTCCCCCCCATGTTATTTTTCATGTTGCTTTTGGTAAGTGCTCTGTGAGCTTTCTTATCTGAAGTGTAAAGTTTTTTGTTTTTTTTAAAGGCCAAAATAAGTCACTAATATACATCACGTGTATCCCTGCTCTGGTCTATTTCTCCTTCTTTAACTTGTCTGAATTGTAAAGTTTTTTGTTTTTGTTTTTTAAAGGCCAAAATAAGTCAATAATACATCATGTGTAGCCCTGCTCTGGTCTATTTCTCCTTCTTTAAGGCTCCCGAGCAAGAAGACTCCTGAGATGACCATCTCTAAAAGCAGCTGTTCTGTGTCCAACCGAGCAAGCATTGTCTCCAGCCACATGAAGAAAAGCATGACCAATGGTGCCCTCTCATCACCGCTAGTTAGCAAAGTGAGCATTGGCTTGGTTTCCCTGCCATCCAGAATTGGCCCTCGTTGGTGCAATGTGTGCATCATAGTTTAAAAAGAAAAGTTTATGTTTTCCGAAATGCCCCAAAGCAAAATTGAACTGGGTTACCTATGAATTCAGTGTAAGTTCGATAAGGGAATGGCCACAAAATTATGGGTGCCTGGGAGATAATTTGAGAATCAAATACCCTACTGTCCATGTTTATGGACAGCCCTGTTGACATTTTTGTTGCTGTAGGCTATTGGAGATGTTCGAGTAGCTGGGGGAACTTAATGCTGCCACTGCTTTTATTTAGCATTGTAAATCAGGGTTTGGGTTGTACCACTACAGACTGCAGGTGGAATTCACGAGACCAGGTGTCCCTCCATAAAGGAAAAAAGGTGGCCAAGAGAAGACTTCTGCCTTAGTTGCAGGCTTCTCCCCCAGCCCTTGTCACAGAGTATTCCATCACAAAAGCCTTCTGCTGTTACACCATTTCTGATACCATCAGAGTATAGGCTGAGCCTTTCTCCCAACTATTTGGAAAACTAAGCCAGAGACCACTTCTTCAGACCATTAGAAAAGAGCCCCACTGCACCATGGGAGGAATGGTGAGGACTTGCAAAGATTCATGAATTCCAATGGAGGCTCTCTTCTATAAACGTCCATGGTGCAGCGAGGCAGGGAGCTCATGGTCTGAGGAAGTGCCATGAAAACAGCATGGAGGCAAAGGGTTTGAGGGCTCTCAGTCCCATAATTCAGCTTGTGGGGGTTGCTACCAAATATGGGGCTATGAGTTCTTTAATTTCAAAAAATGCCATCCCTGTGGAGCAGTATTTCTGTTCCAGCCACTTGAGTTTGGGAGATTTGAAGGAGGGAAAGTCGTCTATCTGGAATGTAATGGCTGTTGTGGTTTTTTCAGGCTCTCTGGCCATGTTCTGAAGGTTGTTCTTCGTAACGTTTCTCCAGTCTCTGTGGCCGGCATCTTCAAATGACAGCACCCTTCAGAACACGGCCAAAGAGCCTGAAAAACCCACAACAGCCATTAGATCCCGGCCGTGAAGGTCTTCGCGAATATCTGGAATGTAGTTTGCTAGTCTTGCTGTCCTGGGTGGAGCTAGAGTGTTGGCCAGATGCAAGCACCTTATATTTTCTGATCCCAGCTCTGTCTTCATCCAGCATTGGTATGTCTCTACTCCACAGAGGCAAGACATGACTCAGGCAAAGAAGAGTTCAGAAGCAGAGGAATCTGGAGTCCCCGTTTCTCGTAGTTCCTTTGCTTCCAGCTCTAAACCTCAGAATGGGATCCTCCCTCTTCCTCCTGCTTCTTCCAAGCTCATCCTGAGCACCGGATTCTTGTCCCCCAAGCTCCCATCCAAGCCCAGTTTCCTGGATGACTTAAGCAAAAGATCCAAGAAACAGCTTCTCAAAACCTCTCAGGACTTCAGTGAAGATGGCAGTGCCAAAGTGGACACGGGCAAGCAGAACTCCTGGGGCGACAAAGGGTTGGCGTCATCTTCACCGCCGGCAGACACGCCCGGAGGAGACCCTGAGGCCAAGGGGCGTGACGAGGTCATAGAGCTGCCAAGCAAAGACTCCTTATCCTTGACGTCTTCTTCATCATCTGCATCGTCTTCTAGCAGCTCCTCCTCCAGCCCTGCACACAACGCGGCCAAGGGGCTGCTACATCCTTCGGTCGGCATCAATGGTTACTGCTCCTCTCAGGAAACGGACTGTGCCTCTGGGAAACCTGTTTCTGAGGACTCAAAGTTTTCCAAGCTAAAGTCACCCTTGCTTGCTAACGTGACCAATCTGGAGTTGGGAAGCACGATGTCACCCCCGCCTGCGAAGAAGCTGGCACTTTCTGCCAGGAAGGTGCGTTTGGGGGGTGGGGACTTGGCCCCACTCTTCGCTGAGGTGGGGAAAATGGTGATGAGGAAGGGGAGGTGAGACGGGGGTGGGGAAAGAGCAGGAAAGAGCCGTTTCCGTCTCACGGTGGTGCTTTAGGCCCAGGAAATGTTCTCACCTGAGCAGCTTTTGAGGCGTGTGCCCAGGGTGTCTAGTGCCCTCTTGCTGCCTAACATAGGAGGGACCACATTGTGGAGGTAGAAATAGTACTTAGCCTTCTCTACAAAGAGATCTGCTTTCCTGTGGTTTTGGATTCAAATCTATGTAAGGCTCGCCTCCCCCTCTCAGCTTAAGGAGAAACACTTTCCACCTAACAAGACTGGAGCAGGAGAAGCATGGGCGGGGGGGCGAGAGGTGTTCCCCCTTTTTTTATTTGGGAGGGTAAGGGAAGGCCTGGCGTGCTACTGGGCAAATGAGAAGGCCTTCCAGTCGCCCATTATTTACTGTTAACACTTCTGTCTCTTTTACGTATCCTTTCTTTTTTTCCCTTTGTTTCTAACAACAAACACTTTTCTGATTCTTCTTCCCCCTCTTATCCCGCCCCCACCCATCCCCTTTTTGTTTTTCTCCCGTCCTCTCTTCTTATTCTACCCTCTGCCCCCTGGGGTCACGGAAACCTCCTTTTTTAGACCACCAAGTTTTTATTTATGTCGATAACTACAGGGCAGCAACACACAGCAGAAAGTGAGCGGCAGTGAGCGTCGAGTGCCGCCCCACTCCCCACCACCAGCTGCCACAAACACCATCCACCCTGTCTGTGCCGCTGTGCTTGGCTGTCCCAGGTAAGCAGCCTTTTCCTCCCCTCCCCTCCCCTCCCGGCTCTTCCGGTTACATCCTGTAAGTAGTCCTTGTCTCATCCCCATTGAGCAGTCGTTATAAAGTGGCCTTTGACACCCAGGCTTCCTAAGATAGACTGAGGTGGAGCCAACGTGGAGAGTGGATGGCTGGGATGATGTGAGTGGTATCAGGACGGATTGGATTTAAATCAAATTGATTGAAATCACAATTTACATTTTTTTAAATTGGATTTTGTTTTCACGATTTAAATAAAAAAAATACTTTAAAATTTAACTTGTCATTTAAATCATGATTTAAATCCATTTGATTTCAATCAAATCTACACTGCTACCACCATTACTTAAATCCCTTTGGTTTTAAATAATCACTGATTTTTATCCACCTTGTGGAATGTCTGACTGTGAAAGGCTGCATTCTAACCTATAGTACTTTCCCTGAGTAAAGCCTTTGTTATGTTGATGGCCTGACTGGAATCTCTAGAGCCTGGTGGGTGACTTGGCACCCTCCACATTTAGAATGCTCATCAACCTTAAATAACATAGCCAGTAGTAAGGGATGTGAATCAAAACCTAAAACGTTGGGGGGGGTTGCGCCACATGGCCTTCCTGTCCTCGGCTTCTGGCTCCATGTTGGTGACCTCCAGTTACTGGCTGCCATGTCTGGTTTAGATCCTTTTGGTTTCTGCTGTGAAATAGAGAATCTTGCCCAGTGAGGTTGGGTGTCTTTGCTTTATGTGGAAAAGACTCTGGAGAGACACTTCTTGAGGTAAGGTAGGAGCCATTGGCATCCTTTTGTTAGAACTCAGCCCCAGCTCTCTGCTCCCTTCATTCTGATCTGTTGTGCCCAACACTGGCTATTTCAACTCCCCGGGGCTCAACAAATCTCCTGGGGATGAAGCCTTGATATGGCAGAGCCGTTGTAGAGGAATGTGATTGCTCTGCTCAGTACTGCATGCTCGCTAGGCTACCACAAGGCGCTTCACTCTTTGCCATGAATTTTGGAGCTCTTAACAAAATATACATACTTGTTTGTTTGATGTCATGTGGCAGCATTTGTATGGTTTCTTGAATACTGGCAAAGTGTAGCAGATTGTTTTCTACCAGAGTCGGGAAAGATAAAAATGATGTAAAGCAGAGCATCAGAAGAAAAATATCTGTAGGGAATAGGTCTGCAGGCAGAGAGGATGTAAAGGTCAGGTTGTAGACATTTTCTCCCTGCTCCTCCACCTAAAAGAGGGGTTCTTACAAACAGCTTAAATTCTTTAACTGCACTTCTCTGACCATGAGTCTAAACTCTAAAGCCCCAATAATGTTTCAGCACTGGGGAAGAAAAGCTAACAAGAAAGTAGAAATTCTGCATCCTATGAAGTAAGGCAGTTGATAATCTGCTATGGTGTTTTTGTATAGCTGCACAATCCTGTGTGGATGGGAACTGAGGAGGTATGGAATATTTGACAAACCATTGGGTCCCAAATTGTGGCGTTAATCAACTATCCTGTCCTGCGTGCTCCAGACTTCGACCGGGAGTTCATCATCTACACCGATGCGTCTAACAGCGGGGTAGGAGCAGTTCTGTGCCAGGAGGATGAGAATGGTGACCAGCATCCAGTGTCCTACCTGAGTAGGAAACTTCAAAAAGGTGAGAGACATTTGGCAACCGTGGAGAAGGAGTGTTTGGCCATAGTCTACGCGATCCAGAAGGCCAAGCCTTACATCTGGGGAAGACATTTTATTCTGTGTACTGACCATTCACCATTGCAATGGTTAAAGACAATGAAAAGCCACAATAGCAAACTTATGAGGTGGGCTTTGAACTTACAGGACTATGACTTTGAAGTGAAGGTGGTCAGAGGGTCAGTGAACTGTGTTGCTGACGCCTTATCAAGAAGACCTGAAGACTGAAGACGGCGAAAGAACATGGACTATATGTATATAATGAAGACAAAAAGTTAAAATGTACCTGGTTTTAAATTGGTTTGTATTAATAAAGGTAAAATTGATGTAATGCATATGGTAAATGTTTGAAATGCCTATTTGCTATGTTTAACTTGGAGTGTAAGTATATGTAAGTATTATCTGGTATGTATAAATGTTGTTGTGTATTTTATGCAGGTTGTTTTTTGGTGAAAGGCACTTTTAGCTTTCCCCCTACAAAACAACTTTTAAAGAGGGGAGGTGTTACATACAGCACTGATGTTACCTGTCTGTCATGGGTTTGGAGGGAAAGTTCCATCCTATGGGGAGTGGAAGGCGGGACATCAGGAGGAGGGGCTGTACTGTATAAATATGTGATGCCTGTGTGGTGAAGGGAGATGCTGAGACAGACTGTGAGACACTGGGTTGGGACGAAGCAGCAGCTGGGGAAGAAGAAGCTGTTGTGGGAGTCTGGGTGTCTGACAGGGTACTACTGTGTGTCGGAGTACCAGCCTGAAAGGTTCAGGGGTCTGTTGGTTAGCCAGAACTGATGGGTTCAGGGTCTGTGCTTTAAGTTAAAGGTTCTAGGTGAACCAAACTGTATGCTGGTGTGTGTGAGAATAAGCCACGTTACTTTATTTATTCACCTGATTGTTTTATTTACCCTGGTTGTATTTAAAATAAACCTTATTCTTTTATTGTTTAAAAATCCATCCCTGGTCTGTGTGACTTATTATAGGGAATGGTTGGTGGCAGCTTGGTGTAACTGTGTGGCAGATCCCAGTAGGTCTGGGTTTGTCACCCTTACAAACAGCTTAAATTCTTTAACTGCACTTCTCTGACCATGAGTCTAAACTCTAAAGCCCCAATAATGTTTCAGCACTCAGGAAGAAAAGCTAACAAGAAAGTAGAAATTGTGCATCCTATGAAGTAAGGCAGTTGATAATCTGCTATGGTGTTTTTGTATAGCTGCACAATCCTGTGTGGATGGGAACTGAGGAGGTATGGAATATTTGACAAACCATTGGGTCTCGAATTGTTAGATAAGCATTTGGAAAAGGGATGAGAAGAGATTCTTTAGTCTGACATCATTAAGAGTCTGAACCTGGAATGTGCAGCCAAATTTGCATCGGTGCCCAGCTGATGTGTTTTGTCCTTCTGGGTGATGTCAAGGGCCCCTTTGTTTTATCTTGTTGGTAGTGCTAGCAATGTTTCTTCTCTAGACCTGGGACTCCAGGAATGTTCTGCAGAAGCTCCCACCACCCAGCACCAGTTGGATCTTAGTTTTATCTGTGCATGCTTCTCTAGGGTGCTCTCGCCTGCTTCCAAACCTTCAGCACCTCCACAACCAGCCAACAGCACTTTTGCCAACTTCACACCCTCATCCAGCTTCAAATCTCGCTGCCTCTCTGCTGCCCCTCTGTCACCACCTGCTATGTCCGCACAGGCCCCTACTCACTCTTATCCAAACAAGGACAAGGGGCCTCTCCCTACCAGCTCAAAGAAGAAAAAAAGGAAGCGTAGCTCCCTAGAGGAAGAGCAAAGTGCCCACTGCAGCCCAGCCATGTCAGACAGTGATGCTGAGGCGACCTGGCTCTCTAGGCCTCCCAGGAAGAAGAGGCAACTGAAGGAAAATGGGAGCACCGTGACTTCTCCAGAGAAATTTAACCTGGTGGCATCTGGAAAGGAAGAGGAAGGGGAGGTGTCTGGGGACTGCAAGGCATCAGATTCTAGTCTAACCAGTTCCATCCGGAAGAAGAAGAAGAAAAAGAGGCTGCAGCAGAGGGAGGAAGACTGCACACCTTTGCTGTCCTTTGTGAGCAGGTGAGCATACGATCTCTCTTAAGGCATTGGTTTTGCCCTATGTGTTCACACCATGCCTTTCTATCACCCTCCTAGTTTATATTCTGCATCACTTTTCTGCATCCAGACTTTATGTCATGGTGATTTAAATAATGTCCCATTTTTAAGTTCCTGGGCTGATTTGTAGTAATTGGTTGCTATAATTTCTCCTGCACCCCAAATTTTCTGTGTGTAATCAGAAGTTTCGTAACACTCAAGAACATGATCCAAAACTGCTGGCAGTTTAATCTGGATGCTTTTGTTTATTTTGTATCTGCTTTTGTGGAGGAGTTGTAAAATTGAGTGATTTTGATTGGTACCATCTGTATCCATGATGGTGAAACAGGGCCATTTGGTGAAACGTGTGTTGGTAGATATTAGAATAATATTCCACAATGACACAGAAAGTAAATCATATATACACAGCTTATAGCCCTTAAGAAATTGTGGGGCTGCCAATATCCAGCTGCCCTAGCTAACAGGTTACCAGGGTGAAGAATTCTGGGCATTGCAGCCCAACATCTGGAGGGGTGCCCTTGACCCCATGCTTCATGCATATGAATAGTGAAATCAGTTTTCTGAATGTTTTTCTTCTGCAGGCAACATGGGCCATGTGTGCATACGAAGAAAATGGCAGGCTTAGGGGAATCCCAAGGGTACCTAGAAACAAGATATTCTAAAGGTTTAGGGATCTCAGTAATGGCTGAACTGAGTACTGAGAATCCTCAGTAGCCAAAATGCCAACTGATTAGGGAGTGGTGGGGTAGAAAGCCAGATAAGGTGGAGGAGAATCAGTAGAGTATCCCGCAAAAAGGCATGACCGTTTATTCATTCATTTCATTTATATTCTATCCTTCCAGTAAAGGGACCCAAGGCGGCATCTGGTCTAGATTGCTTTCCAGAGTTGAGTGTTCTGTTTTAGGTTGTCCTTGTATTTGTGACATTCCAAGATTGGAATTTGCAGTATGGCGAACATGTGACCTATGGGATCATACTTGGTTGACCTCAAGTCACATTTTCCTGTTCTTGCTTCATTCTTTCAGATAGTAACATATTTGTCTGTCTTCTGGTAGATTCAGTTTTAAGAGGCTGGTTATAGACTTCTCTCTATTATCCTTATGTTATATTCAGGAAAGTCAACTGGATTGACTTTTAAGGATGACTTCTCAACTTTGATTTTAAAGTTTCTAATATACACTTTAAAATTTAGTTGATACTTAATCTTTCTTCTTATATATTTTATTTGTTATCTTGTAGCTTCCCTCCACAGAACGAGGCAGAAGTATGCCAGCTACATATGCCAGTGAAAGATCTCTGTAGCACAAAAAAGAAGAAGAAGAAAAAGAAGAAAATCAATCCGCTTCCTTCACAAGGATCAGACCAAGGCAGTTGTGCTGGAGAAAGTGAACACCGCAAGCGCAAGAGGAGGGAGGAAGAGGGCAGCTCTGCGCCTGCAGTCAGCAGCTCCCGAGAAGAACTTAGTGAGAATGGACTTCCTTCAGCAAGAACCAGCTCCCCAGGTTTGAGATGTGGGATGGGGGCGGTGAGGGGTAGGGAAGAGTGCCCATGGTAGTGGTATGCACTAAAGATGGGCACAAACCGCTGGTTCGGCCCAGTTTATTCAGTGTCTGAACAAGCATTCAGTGCTTCAAAGTCCCACCTCCTCTGGCAGGTGTCCACTCAGAGACAATGCCTGGAGGAGGTGGGGCAGGGAAGCTAGGCCAGTCTTTGATTGGGCACCTGCTCAAGAAGGTGGTGCTTTGAAGCACCAAACACCTGTTTGGCTGCTAAACAAACAAGCACACACTGCTGAACTGGTGGTGCAGGCCCATCTCTAGTACGCACTCATTCCATAATCTAGGTTGGCTTTGCTGCTGCTTGGAATTGGCAGGGATGCACTTCCCCTTATGCCTCCCTGGGACACTGAGCTGAAAGTAAACATGACTATATTCCCCCTGCTTTTACTCTGTGGGGAGTGATGTTGATACCTACCTGACCCTACAGCTTTCTGAGATACACAAGAAAATTATCCACTTATATACTTAGTGTATTTAAGGAAGTGGCTTCCACACATCCAGTCCAGAAGGCTGTTGGTAACTTATGGATGTATAAGTTGCATAGTTCACCATGGCAAATGGCTGTTAACTAAGAAGGCACAGTTGCACTATAAGGGGCATGCCTGAGTGAGCAACAGATATGGGCCTAGTAACTCATTAATTAGTGGCAAACTGCATTAAGTTAAGCAGTTTAACTTGCACATTCATAAATTGCCAGTACATTCCTGGCCCCAGGATTTCAGTACGTGACTGTGATGTGCTCCTAGACCTTTGAGCCCCACCCCACCCCTTAGTAACAACTGCCCATTTGGGTTGGGCAAATAGGTCATCTGTTCCCAGATGAGCAGATGTGCTTGTTTCTCACCTAGTTCATTGCAGAACAGATTAGGATACCAACTGAATGATAGTCCTACTTTTATCCTCTGGGACTCTGGTGTAATGGAGAAAAAGGTGAAGAGTAGAAATGTTGTCCGGAATGTAGCAGCATCTTGCTCGTGTTCACCTTGAAGGTGTTGGTGGAGCATTTTGTCTATTTCTCTCAAGACTGGGGAGTGTGCTTGACCCTAGGGAATAACAAATTTCCTCTCCTGCTTTTCTGTGCTCTCACCTGTCCATCAAGGTGTCCTTGATTGTCCCAGCACATATCCAGGGAGAAAGATCAGACTTGTGTATGTGGCATTTCCATGCATGTACTGCAGCTCTGAACCTTGCTCTTTCCACAGCAGCATCAGCCTATGACAGCCAGCTGAGACATGAGGGTGTGAGCTCCCTGAACATCCTGAATCCAAAGAAGGAAGTGAAGCAACATAAATGCGGACAATCTGATGTTGTCCAGGAGCTACTGAAGGGTTCTTTGGACAAAGCTTATGGAAAGCAAGGTATTATTTGAGAAAGAGAGCCAATGGCCAATGAGTAAGACCTTTCTGTTCCAGGGAACACTCTGATAATTGGTTTTTAAACGGTGTTCATGGACTTCATGTGTGTTTGCACATGTGTCATGTATGTGTGTTAGAGTGAAGATTAGGATTTCTGCACCTAGATACACAACCAGAAAGGACAGTATCCAACGAAGAGATAAGTCTAAAGTCTATACATCTAGTAAGTTAAGTTATCTCTGGTTTTGGCTTCCTTAACCTCTTCCAGTGGAGCTGCCTTGTGCTGGATCTTAGGCATCTAAAGAAGAAAAGAACGATAAGGTTTAGGTTCCTCTAGTGAGGTGGTGGGGAATGAACAATCCTCATGATTGGTCCTGCAACTTAGACCTGTTTGGAGTTGCAGCCCAGCCTGGACTTCAGAGAAGAAAGATTTCACACAGGTGCCTTACTATTTTGTGTGTGTCCCCGAAAGCATATGCTTGGAGGTGTTTTTTAACCTTGCACCATTTTTCCATCTCTTATGTTGTAGACAATAGAGACGTTTGACCTTTTGAAAAGGTTCCCTAAACTTAATGTAAAACTGCCTGAAGGGACCGTTCCTGTTTTCCTGGGTAGGCTTCTTTTGAGGATGACTCCTTATGGAGAATTAAGGAGAGGTCATATGCCAGGAAGTAGTTTTAGAAGAGCTAGCTGTGTTAATCAGTGCTGGCATATGGAAAACCAAAACAAATGAAAAATAAAGAATGCAAAGATGTTATGGAACAATATTTTAATGTGAGCATGCATGGACAATCAGACTCTTAGACTCTGAGGAGTCTTGTTCATATAAGTGCACCTTAAAATATAGCAGCTAGTTTTTTAAGGTGCCGCAACATTTTTGTCGTCTTTATTTTTCATTGTTCTTTTGTATATACCAGGAAGGATCCCACTACTGCTAGCTCTTCTGTAATGCTGTGTTTGTTCCACAGTGCTGACATGGGATGGTGAGGTGTCGGCTGTCAGCCAGAATGCTGTACAAGATGCTATATGGTCCCAGAGGCAGACAGTCCTTGATGATTGGGATGAAGAGTTTGACAGCGGGAAGGTAAGGAGCCATTTGATGCAAGCATAGAGTGTTCACTTGCAAGTCTCAGCTAACTGTAAATTAGGCTTCCTGGTTTTAAATTCATCATTTTTGTTTTTTTTCCAAACAGTCATGTTGTTGTTCTGTTATATGTGGATGACCTAAAACTGTATCTAAAAAGTTCCATAGAGATAGAATCACTACTAAACACAGTGCAAATATTTAGTGAAGATATCCAAATGAAATGTGGAGTTGACAGATGTGCAGCTCTGTCTATACAGGATCAAAAAACTAGATGGAGTAGAGTTAAATAGTAATGTTATAAAATCACTATCAAGTGATGAAAATTATAAATACCTCAGAATACTAGAAGCAGATAACATCGTGCCCACAAAAGTTAAAGAACTGACAGAAAGGGAGATTTCAAAAGATTGCAAAAAATCTTAAAAACAAAATTAAATGGTGGAAATACAATCAAAGCCATAAACACATGGGCCGTTCCAGTAGTTAGATACCCAGCTGGAATAATAGACTGGACTCAAAACGAATTAGAAGAATTGGATTGAAAAACACAGAAACTAAAGAAAATGCATCACACACTGCATCCAAAAAGTGATGTGGCCAGATTATATCTACCACAAAAAATTGGAGGCCATGGATTACTGCAAATACAGCAGGTAGTAGTGGAGGAAAAAAGGAGCCTAAATGATTATATCAGTATAACAAGAGAAAAATTAATGAATTGATATGGAGAATATTTTGAAAACAACAGAAACAAAGGCTCAATATAAGAAACAACAATTTAAAAATAAACAGCTGGAAAAATAAACCACTACATTTATTTATTTATTTATTTATTTAATTTAATTTAATTTATATCACACCTATCTAGTCAGCTCAGGACCACTCTAGGCGGCTGCATGGACAACATCTGAGAAATATTGATGAAAAGCATGATCATAATTCAACATGGGCATGGCTAAAACTGGGGACTCTTAAGAAAGAAACTGAAGGCTTGATTTTTGCTGCACAAGAACAAGCACTCCAACGTGATGAAAGCTAAGATCCAATGAATTATTGCTAACAGAAAATTTTGACTATGCCGAGAAAAAGATGAAACTGAGTGACACCTCATCTGTGAATGTCCAAAGATTGCACAAACAGATTACAAAGTTAGACATGATAGAGTGGCAAAATTAGTGCAGTGGACATTATGCAAAAAAATATAACTTGCCAGCTTCCAAAAAACCATGGGAACATCAGGTAGAGAAGGTGTCAGAAAATGTGGAAGTCAAAATCATGTGGGATTTCTGGATCCAAACTGATAGACATCTTGAACATACCACATCAGACGTAGTAATAGAACAAAGAAATGTCTGGATCGTTGACATTGCAATTCCATGAGATGCCAGTATTGGAAATAAAAAATTGGAAAACCTAACAAATTACAGAGACCTGGCCATCCATCTCACCTCTGGAAGAAACATACTTCATTGGTCCCCATAGTCTTTGGGAACAATGTCAAGAAATTTCATACAGTACTATAAAGTTGCGGATCTCGGAAATCACACCATCAGAGCTACAAAAAATAGCAATTAGGAACAGAATACATATTGTGCTGATGTTTAACAGATAGGTTTTTGGTTAGAACTTTTATATAATACAAGCCAATTTTTTATAATTTTGACAGCTTGGTGTTTTTGAATAATATGCCATCAAGTCAGTTATGACTTATGGTGACCCCTTTCAAGGTTTTCAGAAGTGATTTACCATTCCCTTCTTCTGAGGGTGCACTGGGACTGTAGAGTTTGCCCAAGGCTATGCAGGCTGGCTCTTCTCCCAGGAGGCACAAGAGAATCGAACTCCCAAACTCTAAACCACTGAACTGTCCTGCCAACTCCATGATGGTCTTTACAGCAACCTAATAAAATATATTCAGTACTATTGAGTCATTATATGGCCTTGGGAAATAATAACGAAACTTCTGGTTTTCCCAGTTTCCCTCCCCATTGGGCTGGCTAGGAAGGGGGGGGAATTGGGAGCCCAGGCAAATGCAGAAAGCCACACATTCTACAGCCTTTAATGTACCTGAAACTTCAGAGGGTTGGAGTGCACTGCATCAATCCAGAATACAAGATCAACAGTGTAGCCTGTTGTGAAAGCCATAGTGCTAATCAGGGTGGCACTTTGGGAATCTCAGCCCTTGGGATGACTCTGAATCTGGGACACAAACATACACGAATGGTTAATGTTCTCAGTTAGTTTGTCCCCTTACCTCTACCTCCTCCATGGTTCTTTAACATAGGAAAGTGAGCTTTAATGTAAGAAATGAGCTGGGAAACATGTGGTCCCACAGATCATACATTTCATCCTCCATTGGCAATGTTGGTTAGGGTTGGTGGGAGCGGCAGCTCAACAACACCTGGAAAGCTGCACATTTGCCATCTCTGGTATAACTTAATGGCCAAGAATCCTCTTGCATAGCTATGCCAATTGCTGAGTCATACAACTCAGTACACCACTGATAGTGACTACAGTAGTTTCTTAACTTGGGGCAGTTTGCCTCCAAACATTGTACTCTTATGCTGTGATAGCATAACTGGGTCAGAGGATTTGGGCCAATGTGTTGGAGAAACTCCCATGGTTCAGTTATAAGAGATAGGTGTAGAGTTTAATATGGCTGTGGCTTCCTGCCTTTCTTTTTTACACTAGAAGCTGAACAAATGCATATTGCTATTTTTATCACAGGTAAAGAAAAGCAAGAAGCTCAAACGTGAGCAAAGAAGAAGCTTCAATGCCTTCCAAAAATTGCAAAGCCGGCGTAACTTCTGGGCTGAGACGCATCCGGCTAAATTGACGAGCCTGAGCTACCGGCTTTGAGATGGTGAGGAACGTCATAGGAAGATAGGTTTATTTTATTTTAATTGCAAGGATGTGGCTTCTGGGAAGGAGCAGATGGGCAATTATTGGATGGATGAGGGGTGCAATGGAGTGTAATTAGGACTTCATGTTTTTGAAGAGGCGAGAAGCGCTCCTAATTCTGCAAAAACAGTTGCTAAACTGAACAAACAGAAAAGCCTCTATTCTATATTGTATAGTATGGCTGAAATGGGATCTCTCACCTTTTGGTTTCTTGTTTCTGTTTGCTCAAACTTCCTTATTTAGACAGTTATTTTAAAGGGGAAAATGTCAGTTAATATTATCAGCCCCTCCCAATAAATAGTTAGCACCATAGCTCCAATATTTAAAGGTAAATGTTTACTTTTCCTATTTCTCAGAAGTAACTGAAACACTTGCTTAAAAAAAAAACACAGAATGCTACATGGCACTCGCTTCCTATGCAAAGCACTTTGCACCTTGCTGATATCACAACACCTGCAGCCGAACGTAAAGCATCAGGAGTAGACACAGCACCTGATAGCATTTGACCCATGTGAAATTTGTTCTCCTCTAATTAGTGGGACCACACCACTATAATTCACAAGTTTATTCTTCAGTATATATTATATATATACTGTATCTGTTATTCTAAATACTAAAGTTATGTTCTGTCCTCTGAAACTTCTAAGGATTTAAATGATGATGTGGAAATTCTGTAGGAGTTCTGCTCACAAATGTTACAATCCCCCACCCCCAGATTTACTCCCGTGGTTCCAGAATTCATGATGTCTGGCTTACTGTAGTCTTCCTTGCTTGTTCTCTCCCCTCCTGCTGCCCCACCCCCACCCCTTATGCAGTGGTGTAGTCAGATGCAGATTTCCCTGTGGCATTAATCTGTTCTGCTTCTCAACCCCACAGATGAGTCCTTAGCTACCGCAGTGCTATGGTGAATTCCTGTACTTTGACACTGCTATTGACCAGCATCGTACTGTCGACAGCCGCAGGTTCCCAGCCTGGCAGAATTCACAGTGAAGGTTCTGCTCCTGCTCCCAAGTGGGATGCTGCGATTACGGAGGGTTCTGCTGGATCATCTCTGCAGCTTGGTGCGGAAATCGGGCGTCACTGCTATTCGTGAGACTGTTACGAGGAGCATTTGCCAGCGAAGGCAGTGTTCCAGGGTAGTAGTGAACATCAGGCATGGATCAGCAGTGAGGCCAGGAGTAACTAACCTTCTGGAATGAAATCCTTCCAGTGCCTCCCAAGCTCAGTGAGCTGTGATGCCCTTCTCTTGCCTCCAGAGCCAGGAGATGAAGAGAGCTAAAAGCTGCGTCTGACTCCTTCGAAACGGACACTGTATTGCCTGAAGTGGCATTTGCCTCTTTCCTTGCTCCCCAGCTACGTCATAATATGGCTTTTCTTAATACATTTCTCCCCTTTACCTGGAAATGTTCTTCGACACAAATATTTTTCTAAGTAGTTCTCCACATCTCTTTCCTGTTGTGAAGAATCCATGAACTGTTTTTGGTACAGCAAGGAAAGTTGTTGGAGGGGTTGGCCAGCCCTGTAGAATCATGGGTCTTTTAAAAAAAAACGACCCAAACTAAAAAGCTTTTCTTTTCTTTTTTTGTAAACCCAATTACTGAGTACTCAGGAGGTTATGTGTAATCATGACAGCTTCTTCATAGCATCCTGTAACCATAGCTAAGTCACAGTACCATACCAGTTGCTGCAATCTTACTATTTTGTACATGCAGGTGAAGGACTGGATGTCTGGCTGTTCCTCAGTACTGAAGAAAAATCCCTGTAAATGGGATTGATTTAGACAAAGGAACATTCACGCATTCCATTTCTGCAACTAGAATCCTGCTTGCTTGGGTCTTCTGGCAAAACAAAAACCCAGCATTTCAATGGATAGTTGTCAAGCCACAAAGGAGGAAAGATCCCTTGTTTCCACAGGGTTGGCCTAATATTTTTTTTAATTACTCCCTTGCATCCACTGCTGCCTTCCCCAGTTTGGTCCCTGCCAGGTGTATTGGGCAAGAATGTCCACTATTCAGGGTGGGTGGGTGTTAATGATGCAATTGATAAACCAACATCTCTGAAGTCTCTGTGCACTCGTTTGGGAAGAGCTATGGTGGACATTAGTTAGGTAGCCTTTCCTGTAGTTTCCCAAAAGGGAATGATCAATTTGAGGGGCAGTCCATCTGCATCCTGCCCATTCTTGCATCCCCTGCATCTAGGAGGCCATTTTGTTGCCCTTTCAATGTTTGCACCCATTTTCATGCATCCACACATTGGGTGCAAGGGTTGAAAACAAGCCATATTCTTTCTACCATGTAACATATATAAACACAGCTGCAAGTTTTGGCCCTTGTGTTTATTTTGAGCTAATGATTGTTGTTTTTCTTGCCTTGGGGGAGGGGGGGCACAAAGACTCTTCTTGATAGAATCTCTCCTGCTGGCGGTGCCCATTCTCAACTCTCCTGCCGACATATAGATACCCTGAACAAGGGTATGTTTTGCACCTCAAATTGGGGCTTATTGCTGTAGCCCTAGTTGTAGCAATGGTTCGTGGTGCAATAAAGGAATGTTTTATGTATGTGTCCTGTTTCTTTAACTCTTGACTTGGTCAGTTTCTCTAGTGATTGATTGCAAGGGTGAGAGAATTGACTGTTTGACTGGTTGTGAGAAGGAAAGTGGGGCATCTGGTTTTCAGTGACACCTTGCCCAACAGGTAATAAAAGGCAATGTAACTTCATTGGGAGCATTGTTACATCAGAAAAAGTAGTACAGAAGAGATGGTGTGACATCCCAGACTGTGTTTAGCTGAAGTGGTTATTATATTCTAGTCTGTGCCCGCTTTTCCAGTAGCTGACAAAGGGGTGTCCAGCATCTTCTGCAGAAATTTCATCACACAGTTAGTGTCCATCACTTCCATCATGCTATTAGTCTGGCACATGAGCTGAGAGTTGCTTTTCTCTTCCAGCTGGATGGTGAGTTTTAAGCCCACTGGAACGCATTGAAAGGTTTTCAATGCATTTCAATGGGTTTTTTATTTTCGCTTTGTGATGTTTTCGCTTAATGGTGATTTTCCTGGAATGGGTTATTGTCGTTAAGCGAAGCACCACTGTACTTTCTGTTTGCACACATTTACATAATATATTGCTGTGGTATGAGGCTTGGGAATTGTAGGTCCTTTCAGATATATCCTAATACAGTGACATTCATTGGGGTTTTATTTTATCAGAATTAGCCTAGCTTGTGCTTTGGTCTATAATTCACCAAGAGTCAAAGATCAGTGGGGAAAAAAAGACTTGTGAGCAGCCACAGAAATCACAGACTGTTGAACATGACAGGATCAGGTTGCTTATGCTTCCATATTTTAGCAGTGAGAAAGGATCCTATGTGCAATAGAGTAGAATTTATTAAGGCTCACTGCAATGGTTCAAACTATAATTCTTCATCGTGGTCTTCTGTGAATGCACACAAAAGGGTTAAGTCAGCACCAGCGTGGGTTCCTTCGGAATGTTCCAGAGCTCTGTAGAAAAAGAAACATAGTTTAATACTGCCCATACCGCGCATGCTCCGCCTGCCCAAGCCTCAGTTCCATTTCTCCGCTGTGCGAAGTGGTTCCTTTTGGCATAGCTCTGCTAATTCTTCGCTACTGTGAGTTTTTCAATCGATTTACTGGACTTCTTTGACCTTGGCTTGCTTTTGACTACTGTTTTGGCTTACGGACTTGGTTTGCTGCTTGGACTCCTTTCCTTTTCATTTTCCTTTGATCTTCCTTTCCCCACCATTTTTACCGGCCCAGCTTCGCTGCTTGCTAGCTTGCCTATGTCCCCCCCCATGCTCAGGGCCTTTTAGCCGGCGCGTGGTTTGCTCTGGAAAAATCCCCTATCACGATGGGCACGATACTTGTTTGTTCTGTTTGGGAGAATCGCATTCATCCCAAAATTGTAAACATTGCAGCGCTTTTACTAAAGCAGCTCTAAAGGCAAGGCAGCAACGTTTAAAGTTGCATCTCTGGGACAAGCAGTCAGCTACAACTAAAGAATCCACTCAGCATCTTGCTCCCATCTCTTCATCTCTCCCTTCACCAATTTTGGAAGATTCGTCAAGGGACAAGGATTCCATGTCAGAGGTAGCTCTCTCGCTTTCTCCTAGACAGTTAGAGCCAAGTTTACCCCTCGGCATCCCATCTCTGACGCCTAGCCAGCTTATTCAAGTAACAGCTAGCTTGGGATCGGCCCCTTTAAGCCCTGTTACCACCGGGCGGGCATCTTTGGCTCACTCAGCGTCTCCGGCTCCCTCTCAGCCGTCGCCTCCACGCAAAAAGGCTGAAAAGAGAAAGCATGTTTCTTCTGATCAATGTCAAACTCCACGTCGAATGGAAAAAGGCAAGCATCGTCATTCTCGACGTCATCATAGGTCTTCATCGGAGGATTCATCTACCTCGGGGTCGAGGCATAGAAGGCATCGACGGCATCGACGAAGAGATTCTTCTACTTCTTCCTCTTCGACATCGTCAGACCGTTGTCGACGTCAGCGCCATGTTAAATACGTCTATGTGTCGTCTTCTGCTTCGACCCTGCCATGAAAGCATCGACGTCGACACCGAGATGGTGCGGATAAACTTCCTCAAGTACCTCCTGCAGAAGCTCCTATGCTGGAACATCCTGCTAGTGTACCCTCAACATCGACTACAGTGCCACCTACACAGCACCCTACTCCAGCCCCTATCGATGTCGGGTCTCAACGTCCACAAAGGGCCCATGTAGTTTCTTCCGAGGATGAGGCACCCTTTTCTTCTGCAGCCTCTGACTCAGATGGTGAACATCCTTGGCAACCAAAACCTGATGAGCTACTGTTGGGGGAGACAGTAGGGTCCGACACGGGTGACCCGCATGATTCCTCACCGTCTGAGGACTTTACTTCTTATTCTCAAATGCTTTCAAGGTTGGCGAAAACCCTCAAGTTACGTGTGAATGAGCCTCCACCTCCAGAGGAGGATCTTATATTTGGGGACATTAATAAAGAGTGTTCCCCATCTTCTAGTCTATCTTACTTACTGGTCTTATTGGGTCTTATTAAAGAACTCTGGGATCATCCTTCAGTCGCAGTACCTTTACCCAGACACACTGAGAATATGTATAAAATTAATGGAGATGATGCTAAATTCCTTTTGAAGCACCCAATTCCAAACTCACTAATAGGTGAAACCAGTTGCACTAAACCTACTGGGAGAGCGCATGTCATCCCAACTAACAAGGAGGGTAAGAAACTGGAGATGATAGGAAGGCGACTTTACTCCCTTATTGCCTTCATTCTTCGAGTGGCCAACTACCAGACTGCACTAGGTGCTTACCAAAAGCAACTATGGCTGAAGATTCTTCCAGGTTTAAAGTTACTGCCTGAAGAGGTGAGGCAGGGGTATCTTAACCCCTACGAGGAGGCTCAAATGGTCTCTAAACACCAGAGGATTGCCACTAGACATTCAGTGGAAGCGGCTGCTAGGATTCTTGTGTCGGCTGTGACTCTTCACAGGCATGTGTGGCTTTGATCTGTGAACATCCTTGATGATGTGAAGACCAACGTAGAGGACTTGCCCTTTGATGCCTCAGGTCTCTTTAATGAAAAGACTGATGGTCATCTTGAGGAACTGCACAAAGCCAAGAAGACGGCTAAATCTTATTATATTCAGCCTCAACCTAGATTTAATAACTACCAATGGAAGAAGTCTGCAGTTCAATATAATCAGTCTTCCCAACAATACAGGCAATTCAAAGGTTCATCCCAAGCTAGACCTTCACAGGGTACTTCCTCAAATTCTACTTACCGTGCTCAGGCTTCTCAATGATGCCAGTCATACAAACCCCCTGCCAAGAAACACAAACAATATCTTTGACTCGACAGCAATACTGCCACTTCCCTCTCCGGTAACAAGACTACAACCGTTCATTCAAAATTGGTCCACCATCACAAAAGACTCATGGGTTCTAGACATCACTCAATCCGGCTACCGTCTAGAATTTATAGAATATCCTCCTCTAGGTCACGTAGAACACACTTCATTCGACCCTGCCCTAGAGGAGGAAGTTCAATCACTGTTAATGAAGCATGCCATCCAAAGAGTACCAAAAAGAGATGTTTTGAACGGTTTCTACTCAAGGTACTTTGCCGTTCCCAAAAAAGACAGAGGAAGAAGACCCATCATGGACTTAAGAATCCTAAATACTTACCTTCGATTCCGAATGGTGACCTATTGATAATAAAAGATTGGTTCGTGGTCATAGATCTGAAGGACTCATACTTTCATATAACAATCCATCCTTCACATCGCAAATTTCTCAGGTTTGTTTTTCAGGACGTCATTTATCAGTACCTGGCCCTTCCATTTGGCTTGGCAATGGCCCCCAGGACATTTACCAAGTGCATGGCACCTATTGCTGCTTACCTAAGGTTGAACGGTGTGCATGTTTTTCCGTACATCGACGACTGGTTGGTGGTCTCCAGATCCAGGCACAGGGCCCTGAAAGACACAAAGTTTATTCTAACGACTGGTTGGTGGTCTCCAGATCCAGGGCCCTGAAAGACACAAAGTTTATTCTGCACGTCCTTCGAAATCTGGGACTCAAGGTGAATTACAAAAAATCCCATCTAACCCCCTCAAGAGTTGTAGATTATATTGGAGCCACGATAGATGCTGTCAAGGGTCGCATCTTCCTTCCACAGGACCGAATCCGAAAAATTTTGAAAGTTTTAAGGAAGTTCAAGGCAGGAGCCACAGTGTCTGCATTACATGCTCAACATCTCCTGGGCCTTATGGCATTGACAACCCCAGGCTTGGCTCATGTTTGTCTCAAACTCAGGTCCCTGCAGGTGTGGCTCCTCTCCCTCTTTGACCCTCTTCAACATCATCAGGAAAGGCGTCTTCGAGTCACACCGGAGTTGGTCCAACAACTACGATGGTGAAGCTTTGTTCCTCACTTGCAAGTAGGATGTCCGTTTCCCTCTCTGTCTGACTGTCCAGGTCACCATGGACGCCAGCCCCACAGGCTGGGGAGTGCATTGTGCCCAGCATCGCATACATGCTCGATGGTCAGCACAGGAACAAATTCTCCACATCAATCATTTGTAAATTCTAGCCATCTTCAAAGCACTCAAAGCCTTTCTCCCCCTCATACATGGTCGCGGGGTCCAGGTAGTCATGGACAGTACCACGGCCATGTACTATCTAAACAAACAAGGGGGCACTCACTCTCACTCCCTGTTGTTTCTGACGGTGATGCTATGGGAATGGTGTTACCGCCACCACATTTTTCCGGTGGCGGTCCATGTAGCGACAGAGAACAATGTGCTGGCGCATGAATCAGATACACGAGTGGGAACTGAATGCCAGGGTGTTTGACGATTTGTGCCGTCATTGGGGCACCCCTGTCATGGACATCTTTGCCACTTGAGCAAACAGGAAATGCCCAAAGTACGCTTCCAGGGCAGGCCGGGGACAGGATTCCATGGGGGACGCCTTCATGATACCATGGATCTTTTGTCTCAAACTCAGGTCCCTGCAGGTGTGGCTCCTCTCCCTCTTTGACC